TGGGAAATTCAAGGGATGTGGAGTCCATGCTGGACCTAACGATGCTGAAGACAGTGAGTGAGGTAGCGGCCTCGACGAAACGGAATACCTACGCGATAAAGAGGACATAAAGGAAAAACCCAAAGAGTTCGAGATGACTCGACGTGAACGCAAGAAGCTAGCGTAGGATAGGGTTCAACCATACGGACGAAAGTACATCAAGGACCTTCTTGAGCAGCATGGTCAGTCGTTTGGTGTGAGGCCAGTAGGTCGAAGGCGACTTGCCCTTCGATGGTCTCCACATTGATCGAATCCAGCAGTATTCCAGCAGCCTTGCTGTTCTTCTTCTGCAGACTTTCGATCTTTTCTACTTCGTCGTCCGACAACTTGCCCGTACCTGTAGGGTTTTCCCAGTTGTCCGGTTTGATCTCCGTAGAGTCTTTCATCAGTTCTACGTACCCATACTTCGATAAATGGGCCATCATCTTGACCTTGTAGAACCTGAACTTCTCATCTTTCCCATCGAAGATGGGATACTTGCTCGACGATGATACCTCTACCTCCGTAGACATCTTTACTTACTTCTCAATTCTTCTCTTTTCTGTTTGACAACCTGGATCCAAGCTCACTCTTTCCTGATAGCTATCGTTTTAAAACGTGTTGAAAAGGTGTGAACTTGAACGCACAATTTCTCTAATTTAATCAATATCCTTCCAGCTCTACTGTCTAGTAGACTGGCTATTCGTTTCGTTTTCTCTTTCTCTCTCGTTCAGATTGTGAGCTCTACAACTGAGCTCCGATATGCATACATATACCAGGATCTTTCGATCCTCTGCTTCTCGCAGTTTCATCTACAGATAGATCTCGTCGATCTATCTTCCTGAAGTGCATGGTTGGCCCTGGAGGGCTTTCCCACTTTACTAAACCTATGGACCTTCATCCGTCCATTCATTTTGCTCCATCCCGTCGCTCCTTGCATTCATCTCTTCGACCTAACTTCCTAACCTTTGTAGTTGCATCATCTAGACGACCATTGTCCTCGTTCCTCGTACACCTGGCCATCTGATGATGATCGGATAACCATCTGATTTGAGTCACACATCCCCAATCACGAACCGTGATTGTGGATCCCGAGTCGTCTGTCCGTCATACGAAAATACCTTTCTGACATGGTGTCAAAGAACGCGACTCGACTCCGACGAAACAATTGACCGTCCAGTGATCGCAAGGTCGACAACAACATGGCGCCGTCATACAGAGACCTTCGAGCTCTTCTTCTCATCAGCCTCCCTCTGCATTTAGTAACCACTCCCATTTAGGAAGGAGACCACAGCACACTGCTAGACAATTTTGAATTGAAGTTATACCTAGCAGAATGAGATTCCTGGCCCTGTTTACGATCATGGCTCTGCCTCTTGACGCATTGGCATGGACACAGCACAGTGGCAGTCCACGACGACCCCATTTTCTGGAAAAATCACACGACAATAAGAATACTAATAATGCACCCGCACCTGCACTGGTGGATCGAAGGTCCCTGTTTGGAGCCGCGACTTTGCCACTACTGCTCGTATTTCCGTCACAGCCCTCCGTGGCGGCACCTCCCAAGGAAGCTTCCGTCTTTTTGGACAAGAAACTGACGGCAGAGGATGCCAAGCAACGGTTTCAACTCGCTCGCAAGGAGATGCAATATCTGCTCGACAATTACGCCGATATTTCCAAAAAGGGTGGCGGCGATGCCGTTCGAAACTACCTCGGCACACAAGGTGTTACCAGCAGCATGTATGGGATTCAAAAGGTGCTCAAACTACTGCAAGAGGAATCGGATGACATTGTGGAATACACCGAAACCATGGAAGAATTCAATGCCTATTTCTATCAAGCCGAAGGAGCGGCCTATCAATCCATGTTTGCCGAACATTCTTCGTCCAGATCCACTCCCGAGTCCCTGTTGGCCACGGCCAAGAAGGATATTCAATCCATGGTCAAATACATGGATCAGTTGGCAGTTCAACTGAATCTATAAGAAAGACGGGCACACATGCAGAAAATGAATACTTACGGCAGCGAAACAAAAAAGGAAGAATAGAATTTTAGTTCGTTCTAACTTGGATGAGCCAACAATCAAGGAGGCGCAAACCTCCATACAATATACTGTTATTTGCAAAACTAGGACTCGCCCTGCCTCTCGAAAAGTACGGTAGATGGTACTCCTAAAGGGAAGAATGAATGCTTTCCAGCACATTGAACGCTGCCGGCTTTTTAAGACCAGCAAAACCCTGGGCACTTATACCAGGACTGCACTGCATGCCACTGCTGTTGCTGTTGCTTTCGCGCCACTACATCACTGTGACCGCCTTCAGAATGTTTGCTGTTTATAAAAAAAAAAGACACGAGATGCTAGGAGGCTGGCGTAGGGGTAGTTAATTGCAATGGTGAGGACTTTTGATCCATCTGGGTACCGTGCTACAGTGGCTACAACAAGCAACCTCACAAACTAAACGGGTTTACATGTGGGTGCAATGCAATACCATTGTTGCATGGTTGGTGAATGGTCTAGCTAGTTGGCGATTAATTTTGTCATGCCTTTGGGCAATGCTCACAAGTACAGCCGCATAGACTAGTTCCATAGCAGGCTGACAGGTTGCTGGTTGGTACTGGATAGTAATTCCCACCAAACCATTTCATTTCATGTGGGGGCCGTACTACACCACATAATCCGTCAGGGATGCTCCCAGATATGGATGTGTTAGTCAACACCAAGCTGGTCAAGTTTTCCAACAAACATAGTTCCTTGGGAAGTTTCCCAAATATGTTGGTATTTTGCAGTTCAAGCATCTGAAGACTAGACACCAAACTAATTTCTGTTGCAATGGAGCCTGAGAAAAGGTTATCATTGATATACAACTTCTGTAGCTTGGTGAGTTGGGGAAGCAGCTCTGGTTCCAGCAGCCTGCCTTCTAATTGGTTGGCACTAATGAGGAGCATTTCCAGCTCTTGAAATAGAGCAGGCAGATGGTATAGCATGAGCATGAGATGAATTTGCAAATCTGGCACGAGAAGACAACTTACGTGACATCTTTGATATCTCTTCTGGTAGAGTGCCAGTGATGTAGTTCCTTCGCATGTTCACGTAGATCTGCAAGAAAGTGGTACACCTCAATCCCTTAGTGCATAGAGGAACCATCACCACACAAGCTTCATTCATGATAACTTACTAGCTTTGTCAACAAGCCCATCTCACTTGGAATTGTGCCATTGAGTTGAAAGTCAGCAAAAATAAGATTTTCCAGGTTGGTCAGCTTCCCAATCTCAGCTGTTTCAAAGCAAAATTTCAAAAACATGTTCAGCAACCAGAAGGCGAAGGGAAAGAAATGAACTAATGCACTTACATGGAATTGATGTGAACCCCCCAGCTTTCCGATAGCTCAGATTTAGTGTCTCCAAATTGTGCAGGTTTCCAACTACCTCAGGGAGGAAAGATTCTGTATTTAACAAAGGGCACTCTGAGAAAAACAAGGTCTTCAGGTTCGACAATCGAAGAATCTCAGTGGGGATGGACCCTGTGTAGGCAGAAACGTCAAGTGAGCCAATAAATCAAACTGTGGAATTTCTGCAATGATTTTGTCCCCTCCCTCGCATACCAGAAAAGTTCGCACTGTCAGATCCCAGAACTGTCAGGCTGCTTAGGTTGCCCAGTTCAGTAGGCAAAGTCCCACCAAGCTCACTATGTGAGATCGTTAATTGCTCCAAGCGTTGTAGCTGACCCAGTTCTGTTGGGAGTGTTCCAGACAAGTGAGTTGCGCTAAACCACAAGGCTGTCAGCCTTGTCATCAGCCCAACCTCTGTTGGTAGTCTTCCTTTAAGTTGGTAGTTCCAAGAAAATTCCAGTATTTCCAAGCTATCACTAAGCAGAGATATTTCTGGTGGTATCGTTCCATCCAAATTGTTAGCAGACCCAAGCTTCAATGATAGGAGTTGCCCAGCATCACCGCAATGAGCTGCTCTGCTTGGGACCCTATCAATCTGTGTCCAATTGCACTCGTTAGAGCCCCAATCCAGCCAGCCTTGACTTTTCACCCAATAGTCTCCCCGTGTTGAATAATAAAATGTGGCCAACACAAACCGTTGCCTTAGTCTCCATACCGGGAGATGGTGCGTATTGTTAGAGTTGTTGATACTGTTGTTTAGCCATTGATAAGCCTTGGTCTGTGGTGACCTCGGATTTTCCATTGCCCTGAGGGTGTATTCAGGAAGATTGAGTCTTTCCTGTAGCAATGTTGGTGCTTGTGCGATTGAAGCTATTGCCCCTGGATTGTCTTGTATTGGCATCACTCCATTTTGCTGCTTTGTGGGTTGAGCTTGATTGCCTCTTTTTGGAGCCAGCAGAAATGCCAAAAGGATGATAGAGACAATGGCAATGGCAACCATTGTTTCCAGTGAGAGGAACAAGAATAGTTTCTTTTTCCATATTCTTTTTGCCGTTGTTGTTATTGGCTCTGCCATTGGAATCATCCCATTTTCCGAGTCATCAACTGGCTCAGCATGAATAAGACCACCCTCGTTCCTCGTTGATTCTTCCATGTTATGTCTAGTGAAATTGAAGGCCAACAGATTGCTAATATCAGCAATAACAAGATCATTATCTCTGTTGTCACTTGGAGATGTAGGCACCAATTCCAGTCCCTGCTCTTCCATCTCAGACATCCTCCCAGTCAATGGCCTACTTCTTGGGCGATGAAATATTGGTCCAATCCCATCCACGGCATAGGCCCCTGGTCCATCCTCTCCGACCCTTCGTGCTCGATGCAGTGATGGCGGGGTTAATGTTGGTAGTGGCTGGATGCTACTTATAGTATCATCTGCATCATGACGTTGTGTCTTCTTCATTGAGCCCTTGGTTCACTAAAGCGTTTGGCCTTTCTTGTGTTTGTGGAGGTCTCCGTATTGCACGTCCGGCTGCCGAAGAGAAAAAATGTTTATCGCTGGCTTCCGTATAGACAATCTAGACTACCCACTCTAAACCCCTCTTTCCTTATCGAGCAATCGGCTTCGGGCGTCAACAGCAGGTCTTTTTTGGGCAATCCACAACAACAGAGCAAGCGGCTTCGGGCGACAACAACATAAATAAATCAGTAGCGTAGTAACAAGACAAGCAATTTTGCTGGACTCAACTTCGAGAGAATTTTAGTGCGGGAAAAGAATCCACGAATCGAATTAATCAGGCACGGCCTGGTCGCACGTTTTTTTAATTAAAAACGTGTAGTCTACTAGAACTTCACCAAGGTCTAGCTACCGTATTTTTTTAAGTATGCATGGGTGGATGGTTACTAATGGTTTCTTTGGTTACGGTACCAATTCTTCACTTTTCTCTCTACGTTGTTACTCTATCTATCTATCTAGCTAGCAACCACAGCTACAATTGCCCATGAGACCATGCAGCGGGTACTCGGTCCACCGCTACCGCTACCAGGCAGCAGTACGAACCGAAGAATCTTCAGCAAATCTTGTCATTTTAGAAGAACTGGGTCACATTGATCGTCATCGTCATAGCCATGGTCGCAATGCTATTGCATGCTCCAAGTAAAATCACCGAGTCCTGCGGACTTGGCCAAATCCACCAAGTCCTCGCGACGACCGACCGACTTGTGCATAAAGGACAATGAGTACCGACACAGGAATCACCACCGAAACAATAGGAAATAACAAGAAGGGATGAATTCAATTGGAGGATCCACTCTCCTCTGTGCGATTGTTGTGTAGAGCTCCTCCTGTCGACTGTTGCCTCTTCATTGACTCAACGACGATCCAACCGTTCAGGCTGGTGATAGGGCTTATCCGGAGCGATCGATCGATCGTCGACAATGGTGTTTCCTCGGTCGGCAGTCAGGAGCGGCCCAAGAGAAAGTAAGAATAGCGGTAAGATTCTCTTCTCGATGGTGACTTACCCTTGTTTTGCAAATTCCACCAACTTGACCGTCAACGGCCAAGAACTGACTGCCATCGCATGGTCCAATTGAATGAGGGATGGCTTTCGAATCTGCACCAAAGACTGTCGGATTGGGTGAGGCTTGATAGTGCAGCACCGTAGAGACAATAGAGGTGCGAACAGATCGATCGACTCGAATAATTACACAACTCACCACAACAACCCAGCTCACTTGTAGACGGCCGAGATCTGACTGCCTTCCCGTGGTCCATAGAAATGCAAAGACGGATGGCTTTCGAATCTGCACCTTCAAATAAGTCTCTTGAGAATAAGCTTACCTCGTACATTACCGTACCAGTCGCTCGATCGATTCATTCAACACCACGCCACGAATACTCTTGTCGGCCAAGCTTGGATTTCTCGAATGCCTACAATGGGACTTGGCGCTGATGTCCGATGCTGGGATGCCTCTACGGTGGCATTTACTGGTATCCGTCGGTAGTACGAGGCAAGGGGAGTGTCTGCTTTGGCACGTGGCTGATTGCCAACAACTGTGAATTGAATTCGGCGGCATAGGATCAGTCGTATCGATCGTTGCTGTTGCTGGGCAGCACAGTGGATGGCCATGCGTCAATTTCGTGGGTTTGAAGCTGATTCTTCTAGATCAGAGACGGAGTGTGAACTTTTCCAAAGAGGTGGCCGAGGTGAAGCATGTCCCGCGATCGTCAGAGCATCAAATAAGTGGGCGGACCATCGTGAACTCCATCAATTCTTGGGAAGAAGAATCGAACGGATTGACCCAATAGTTTGCCTAGACGGATTGACCCAATAGTTTGCCTAGAAGGCTTCCATAGTGACCTGTAGTGAACTTAATGATAGTAGAAGATTATTAGATGTCATGGTGACGTCGCCATGGCTCTGCAAAGCCACCATCGAACAGATCGTCGACTGTCGCTCCTTTCATGCTGTGCTTTGTGAATTCCGGTGGAGTGACTCGACCCATGCAGTCAACCTCCGTTGAAGGGAGCCATGGCAGTCGAGTGACAGTCATAAATCTTCAAAATCTATGAGACCCGCTTGTGGGACCAGTCTACTGCAGAACCATGTCACGAACACTTGCTGTTTTGTTATCTACTAGCAAGGTAGGAGGCAATCTTATCCAACACGGTACCGTACCTGGTAGCTTCTAAAGGGCTTCCTGGGCACAATGCACTACCATGGTTTTCATCGTTGGTGAATAGTTGGCAAACCAAAGGATAAATTATGTCATGCTTTTGGGCAAGCCTCACAAGTACAGCCGCATAGACTAGTTCCATAGCAGACTGAAAGGTTGGTCGTTGGAACGGTATATGCATTCCCGCCAAAATGTTTCATTTCATGTGGCGCGAGTAGGATGCCACATAATTCATCAGGGATACTGCCAGTCAAGGATGTGTTCATCAAGACCAACCTGGTCAAGTTGTCCAACAAAAGTATTTCTGTGGGAAAGGTCCCAGATAGGTTGGTATTTTGCAGTTCGAGCACCTCAAGACTCATCAAACCAATTTCTGTTGCAATAGAGCCTGAGAAAAGATTGTCATTGATATGCAACCACTGTAGCTGGGTCAGTTGGGGAAGCACATCTTGTTCCAGCGGTCTGCCTTCTAATTGGTTGGCACTAATGAACAACGCTTTCAGCTCTTGAATTAGAGCATACAGGTGGAAAAGCATGAGTACGAGACGAGTTTTGCAAATCTGGTTTGAGAAGACAACTCACGTGACATCTTTGATAACCCTTCTGGTAAGGTGCCAGTGATGGAGTTGCTTTCCAAGTACAAGTCTTTCTGCAAAAGTGGTACAACGACTTTAGTGCATAGACACACCATCATCACCACACAAGCTTCATTCATGATAACGTACTAGCTTTGTCAACAATCCCATCTCACTTGGAATTGTGCCATTAAGTTGGAAGTCGTTCAAAATCAGGGTTGCCAGGTTGGTCAGCTTCCCAATTTCAGCTGTTCAGAGCAAATTCAAGCAAAAAAGGTTTAGCAGACAGAAAGCAAAAGACAAAGAAAAGAACTAATGACTCTTACATGGAATTGATGTGCACCGCCCAGCTTTCCCTTTGCCTAGACTTAGCATCTCCAAATTGTGCAGGTTTCCAACTACACCAGTTAGCAAAGAAGTTAAATCCAATAGAGGGCATTCTCCGAAACCTAAAACCTTCAGGTTTGACAATCCAAGAATCTCAGTGGGGATGGATCCTGTGTAGGCAGAAAAAACCAAGCCAATAAGTCAAACTGTGGAAGTTCTGCAATGCCTTTGTCCAATCCCTTGCATACCAGAAAAGTTCACTCTAGCAAATCCCAGAGTTGTCAGGTTGCTTAGGTTCCCAAGCTCAGTGGCTAGAGTCCCAACAAGTTCGCTACCTGAGATCAATAGGTTCTCCAAGCTTTGTAGCTGACCTAGTTCCGTTGGTAGTGTGCCAGACAAGTGCGTTGTGCTCATCCACAAGCCTGTCAGCCTTGTCATGAGCCCAACCTCAGTCGGTATATTTCCTTTCAGTTGAAAGTTACCAGTAAATACAAGTGTTTCCAAGCTTTCGGCAAGCAGAGATATTTCTGGTGGTATTGTTCCGTCCAAGTTGTTGGCCTCACCAAATTGCAATGATAGGAGTTGCCCGTTGTCGTCACAATTAGCTGCTTCATTTGGGTACAATTCATCATGAAATTGTGCCCAGGTGCACTCATTGGAGTCCCAATTGAGCCAGCCTTGATTTTTCACCCAATAGTCTCCCCGTGTTGCATAATAAAATGTGGACAGTGCAAACCTCTGCTTTAAGCGCCATGCCGGGAGATGTATTGTATTGTTGGAGTTGTTGAGATTGTTGCTTAGCCATTGGTATGCCTTGGTCTGTGGTGACCTCGGATTCTCCATTGCCCTGAGGGTGTATTCGGGTAGATTGAGTCTTTCCCATAGCGATATTGGTGCCTGTGTGATTGAAGCCATTGTCCCTGGATGTTCTTGTATTGGAATCACTCCATTTTGCTGCTTTGCGGACTGTGTTTGATTACGTGATTTTGGAGCCAGCAGAAATGCCACAAGAATGATAGAGACAATGGCAATGGCAAGAATTGCTTCCAGGGATAGGTCGAGACATAGCTTCTTCTTCCATAGTTTCTTTGCCCTTGTTGCCATTGGCTCTGCGGTTGGAATTTCCCCATTTTCCGAGTCATCAACTGGCTCAGCATGAATAAGACCACCCTCGTTCCTCGTTGATTCTTCCATGTTATGTCTAGTGAAATTGAAGGCCAACAGATTGCTAATATCAGCAATAACAAGATCATTAACTCGGTCCGCATGAATAAGGCCATCGTCATCATCATTGCTCGTTGATGATGTGAAGGCAAAAAAGTTGCTAATATCCGCAAAAGAAAGACGACAATTGTGGTCTCTGTCCCCTTGAGGCACCAATTCCAGTCCCAGCTCTTCCATGTCAGGAGGTAATCCAGGCGAATGTCCAATCCCAGCAACGGGATAGGCTCCAGGTCTGTTCTCTCTGACCCTTTGTGCTTGACGCAAGTCTGGTGGAGTCGATGTTGGTATTGACTCGATGCCACTGATATAAGCGTTGAAGGGTGTGGAACCATCGAGAGCAGGGCTCTCTGGAAATGGGATTGGATGCTGCCTTCCAATCTTCCTTTGTTCCTCTTCCTTCTCAAATATATTTCCCAGTTTATGAAGGGAGTTGCGGGCTCGTTGTTGTTGTTGACAACTGCTACCAGTACTGGTAGTACTGGTAGTACCATCATGTGTCTTGTTCATCATTATTGCGGGTGTGCTTACTACTTAAAATTCTTGGAATGGATCAACAATTAATTGAGTCGATGGTATACTTTCTTGCCGTTGTGCTGTTTTGGGCCCTTTCGTGCTGCAGAAAGAGCAGCAATTGAGAAGCTGTGTCTTCATCATCATCATCGTTGCGGGCTAGCTATTATATAGCTTGCTTACATGCAACAACAACGCAGAGATATGTAATTTCCGTCGATTGCATGCTTGGTCTGCTTTCTTGCGTCCATGCCGTTTTGGGCCCTTTTGTGGTTTTGGACTGACTTCCTTAGACATTTTACCCTTTGTTTGGTCCTTTTTGGTTGCTTTTGAAGGTGAAAAGGGGCGAAAAGTAAGCATTTTGAAAAATTTAGCTCCTTCCAACTCTTCCTCGACCATGGATCGAGGCAACATAAAGGACACCGGAGGTGTAATAGATATACCGGGCGAGCTGACTTAAAAAATGGGCCGGTATAGTAATATTGTTGAAGTAGATGTGCAACGTGAGATGTTAGAATTTTCCATCTGAGAAAGTGGCGTGGTAGCTTACGGGAGTTTAGAGGTGTGCAAATGTGAGGAAAATATTCAGGATCCGTTGCAATAAAAGAGAATGTGTAAGAAATGTGGGGGCCCAAGAGGGGGCTTCGTTTTTAGATAAACTCTAACCCTAAGGATAACCAACCAACCAAAACCAACCAACTACCACCACAATAAACGTGTTCAGAGATCACCGGGGTCTGCCCGGTATATAAAAACCTCATGGCAATGGCAAAAGAGGATTGTTGTGTTGCCAAAAGTCTACTGTACATAGTAGCTAGATACTGCTGCTGAGTGCTGTATTCCATTGACAATATCTCTGATATTCGCACCGTATCAAGTAGTAGTCACAGGCTGGGAGTGGTCAGTAATGAGTTGAGTACCGCAAATGGTGGAACACACACAAGGAATCCAATCCAACACTCAAGGAGCACCATGTCGTCATTGAAGAATGCCCGTCTTGTCACGCAGACACAAGAAGAAGAGCGACAAGAGAGTCCTCCGGATGCCGAAAACAGGACGATGGACGAGAACCATGATGTGCTGGTATCATCAGGGGTCGACAACAACACTGCTGTCAAGCCCAAAAAGAAACGCAAGAGACGCATCAGTGTCATTCCGGCAGCATTGAGGCCCAAAAAGAAGAAACCCAAACTACTGGAAGATCCTCCAGCCGAACAAGAGTCACAGAGAGTCAAAGAATTATCCTCGCAAAAAGACAAGAAAAAGAAAAAGTCCAAATCGAAAAAGGAGAGACGCAATAGTACTGGGAGTTCTTCTCTCATGTCTCCTTCCAGCCCACTGTTGTCTTACAATCGACCGAAACGACAATCATCACCTACACAACAACCACGTCTCTCCTTGGGAAGTATTTTGGAATGTTTACCGCAAGACCCGATAAACAGTAGCAAACCAAGGACGACAAAAGCACCATCTGCCAAGAGCAAGCCACGAAAACAGTCCCTGCCGAAGAGTCGAAAGTCGGTAGACCACAATTCACACACCCAAAAACCACGTCCGAATGCCTCCAAGAGAAAAGCTTCTGCCCGAAAACGTACTCCAAAGGCAGAAAGCAATGCGGAAGAGGAGGAGGATGTGCGTAGTTCACCCAGACAGAATCAACGACCGGATCGGTCTCCTGCCGATTATCCCTTTGATCCCCTCCAGAGCCCACAACTGACTACTAATACCAAAGCAGAAAAGAAGAAACGACGCACCAAATCCCATTCACCCAAACCAAAAGAGGACAGTCTACTCCAACAACAAACACCCACCACTCAACAAACGTCCGAATCCCCTCGGCGGCCCAAAACGACAAGCAAAACCAGAGCCACAGCCGCGGTCAATCAACAATACCAGCGTCAGTTGCTGACCAGTCCGGTCCAACGACAGGAAGAATCTGTCTCCTCTAAGAATAAAGTGCACGAATTTGCCACGAAGAAAAGCAACACGGATCAGATCAACTCCGCCACATCAATCGACCATAGAAAGGGCGAGAGCTCCAACAATCATATGCACCCAGATGACGAGGCTGTGCGGAACAACAGTGACAAAGCACAGATCAAGGCCCGCCATGATGATTCGGGGCAGCACTATAGTGGGGCAGAGAAGAAGACGACCTCCGCGACCAATAACGCTACAGAATCAGGCACGCTTACTCAACAAGATTTCTCCACGACCCACGAGTGTCAATTACAACAAAAGACTGGCAACGGGGACCAAAACAGCACTGACGATGAAACACAACAAGACACCAAAATCCAGGCACGAGCTACCAACAGGCGCCGCAATTCCGATGACATGATGGTTCTCTGGCTGCGCAATCGGCAGCTAGAGCGGGGAGGGACTTGCGACAAAGAACCAGGGCCAATTGCAATCGCCAATACACCCGTCAAAACTGTCATGAAAGTGGTGCTGCCGACACCCGACGAAAGAGGGTTGCGTATTAATGGTACAACGAGAAGAGGCGTCACTGCCAAGAAGAACAAGAAGGAAATGGCCGTTTCGAAAAGTAGTAAGGGATCCGACAACAATAAGATTGCTGCTAATAGCGACATTCCCAAGAAGGCTTCCAAACGAAAGACAAAAAGAAAGGATTCTCGTGCTCCCAAACAACGTGGCAAGTCGACAAACAGTGGAGAATTAGACGAGCCAGCTCCATCGGCACACGATGACGATGACAAACTCGGTAGCGTTGAAAACGGGGATGCGACAACGGAAAAGACAAGTACCAGGCGAACTAGTCCTCGAAGGCGAACCAATGCCGACTTTGAATCTACAACCAGCGGAGAAGCCGACGTGCAAGTTCCTCGACCACATGAGGACAACAAGTCTGACAAAGTTGCCACTCTGGACAAACCGAAAAGCGCAAGGCGCACTAGTCCACGAAGGAATAAGTCAAGCCACCGTTCCAAGCAAACCATTGGAGAAGCAGACTTCCCCGTGGCAGCGGCGCACGACGACAATCTACCAAGCATTGAAAATGCTGGTGTCACTCTGGACAAATCGAGCACAAGGCAAACAAGTCCAGGCGGGAAGCCACTCGACGATTCAAAGCGCCCCAGCCCTGACCCTGAAGTCGCAACCAGGATTCAGGATGAGAAACGAAAACGTTGCATAGAATCGGGAATGTCTCAGGGACGCGCTTTCTTTGACCAAAACCAGGGTGTTCTGACGCGATCTGCTAGAAAGCGCAAAAGGGAGGAGCGCATACGGTTGCAGCAGTCAGCAGAAGGCCCAACTCTTCCGCGCATCAAAGCCAAGGGGAAATCGCCCCTGTCCAAGGGATCACAGACACGTCCCGCACCAATGGAAGAACCAATAGTAGATGACAAAGAAGCTGTCGACGACGAGCAATCCTTGCTGACTGTTGAGAATGCACCAGAAATGGTAGATGAGGCGAGCCTCGAAACCAATGAGGGCACCGAAACGAAAGGACTTGGCGAGGAGCGACAACCCATAGCAGACGATGGCCATGTCGACGACAAGCAATGCGCGGAGGCATTTCCAACTGTTGAGGATGCACCGGAAACTGCAGGCGCGACGAGCGTTGAACAATCCAAGTCAGACGACCGGCACGAGGCAGGGCCTTTCTCAATTACTCACGAAGCATCAGAAACAGCAGATGCGACAAGCCTGACAGCCAAGGAATCCATCGACGCTAAGAAACACGTTTTCGACGGGCGACAACACATGTCAGATGATGGCCATGTCGACGACGAGCAATGCACCGACGAATTCCCGACTTTTGATGATGCACCAGAATTCCCGACTTTGGAGGATGCAGCAGCAGTAGTAGATGCATTCCTGTCTGTTGATGATGCACCAGAAGTGGCAGATGCGAAAACCGCTGAACCCATGTTAGACGATGGCCATGTTGACGGTGAGCAGGGCGCCGAGACATTCCCGCATGTTGACAATGGCCCCAAAGCGGCGAGTCTTCATGCCAGCGAGGCCAATGAAACGGACGAACCTGTTGCGCGAGAAGCAAAGGGGAAGGGCAACATCTCCGATCAAGATGGCACAACAAAGTCGTTCACGCAAGAAAAAGAATCTCCCGAGCGCCAATCCCATGCGGAAGATCCTCCTGCAGAGGCCAATGCTCCAACCGAGGACAAGAATCAATCGAAGCCACGTGCTGACAGCAGTTCGAACGAAAACCCAGAGGGCGCCATCGACGAGTCTAGTAGCAATTGCAATTGCACCGCAGGAAAGGCGACTAGATTCAGCGCTAACAGCAAAAAGGCAGCGCGGAAACGAAAGGTTCCCAAACGAAGGCTGAGAACATTTTCGATTCCGAAGAAACCTATGTGTGGGTCGACCAGCGATGATGATACTTCCGATTATGAAGACGAAGATGAGGACGACGAAGACGACCTTGAAATTGACCCTGACATCGAAACCGGCATCAACGCTCACAGTGGTGACAAGAGCAAGAAACGTCCTGGAAAGACCACCACGATTGAGGTTGGAACACCCTACGAGAAGAGGATGCAGTTTTCCGACGTCAAAAGTGTTTTGTTTCGGGGGACCGCTGATTCCAAGACTGCAACCGACACGACGCCACGAGGGTCGCCCCAAACGAAACAGAAGCCGCACAAGAAGGCAGGTTCCAGAAAAACTCGAAAGGACAAGGGTGTCAAACGTGGTCCTCGAAAACCCAAGTGCGAGGATGCCACCAACGATGATGCACAGAAATCAAGCACAAAGGGCCGTCTTGGCTACTTCACATCTATCAGGTGCGGCGATTGCATTGGATGTCGTGCACTCCAGAACTGTGGCAAATGCAAGCCTTGTTTGGACAAGCCTGAATTCGGAGGTCCTGGCAAAACTGGCAAACTCTGTGTGTTGAAACGCTGCATCAAGCCAGTGGGTGGCAAGCGAATTTCGTATGCGGCTGCCAAGGCTGCAGCTGCTCAAGAGGCATCAGTGCCGTCCAGTGGCATGTTGCAACCTCTCCGCAAAACTCCCAAGGACGACTTGGACAACGAGAGCATGTCCTTGTGCGAGTCAACGACAGAAGAGTTGAGCGATATGGAGTACGATGAAGAAAAGACGCGAGATATCATTGCCGTGCTTCAGTCATCCAGAAGCCCTGCTGCTAAACCAGCTGAAATCTCCACTTCCCACAGTGACGATGAAGCAGCAGCTGATGCCCACGCTGGTCCTTTTGATATTTTGGGTGGTTTAGGCTTTGGTACTACTAAAACAGTGTCGTCGGAAGTGGGACCGGCCGACGTGGCACGAAAGATGGAAGAGCAACAACGATCCGAGATGCTCGATTGGAAGGGGGAAGCCGACCGTGCCTCCGACTCGGATTCCGATGGCGAAGACGACGCCTTCCTGCCCCCGCCACCGGCGGCGGAGTACTTCTACTAGCTCTCTAGTTACCTGTAACTTTGTCTAAGTGAGAAGCAATCAGTTTCACTCTTTCATCAATAAATAGACGTTGTGTTCCGTATAGTATTGTAGTATGGATACAGTTTATTATACATTATGCTGTAACAGATTGGAATCTAGAGGTCAAGAGATATATATTATGGAGGTCGGTTGCTTCATTCAGCAGTCATAGGAAGCGCAGTGTTGTTCTGCCGTAGCAGCCGCTGTGATGATGAGGGTTGGATTTTGTCGCAGCCAAAAGTGCACGGCTTCGAGGTTTTGTAGTTCGGACGATGCATTGTCACGACCGCATTGTGCCAACACGTTCATCCATTGATGCATGGAACAGTTTCTCATTTTCTGCAACACTTGGGATCGCCCACAGGCATTCAAGTGGGTGTAAAACTGAATCATGGGTGCCAATTTGCCTTGACTGCGTTGCAATAAGTTGTTGTTGTAATCATCCAACACCAAGGATGTAATGGTCGAGTTGGTTTCGAGCATTTTGCAAAAGGCCGTGGCATCCGGTTCTTGTAGATTGTTTCGTCCGGGACCAAAAATGCGCAGTGTCGAAATGTTGCTGTGTTGTTGTTTCAACGCTTTGGCCAAGGTTTCCAGACAGCGCTCGTCTTGCCAGGCATCCGCATAGGAAATCCAGAGTTGCAGCGTGTGAAGACTGGTGTTGTCCGCGAGGGCTTGAAAGAGTGTCTTGACTTGAGCTGCATCGGCTTGTCCCAGATCGAGTTGCAAGGTTTCGAGTTGACAACTGGAGCATTGAAGAGCTCTTGCCAAGGACTCGAGGGATGTTCCGTGAAACGGGAAATTACGAAGTGACAAGTCGCGGCATGGCGATGACAGAACAAAATTGCCAAGAGCATCATTGGTACTCGTACTCGTAGTGGGCGACAGCATTGGCTGCTGCTCCCCGGATCCCAACTCGACTTCTTGGAGGGCGGGCAAGCTGAGAATGGCATTGGCCAGGGGAGAAACGCATTTCTCCGTTCCTGAAGTAGTCGTATAGCCAATGGCGTTGGAGGATTGCTCGTACCATTCGACTCGCTTTAAAGCCGACAGACATACGATCGCTTCAGCGCACTTCAAGACGGTGCGGCGGTTGACATTGGAAAAGCGACACTTGTCCACGTGCAATTCCTTCAAATACATGGATCGCATGGGTCCAATCAAGAGAATCGTGAGGAGATGCAGAGGAAAGCCGCCGGAATCGGCAAATCCCAATCGCTTCAAATGAATGCGTTCCAACATTGGTAGATCTCCAATGACTTGAAAGAGCTTTTCGGCCACAGTAGTAGTGTGCGTGTGTTCTTCTTGAGGTTGTGCGAATGGAGTCCAATCCGGTTCCGTGACATCGGCCAAAATGTGTTCTTGTTCACAGGAGGACCACTCTGGTTCGATAATAACTTCTCGTGTCATCATGGATGTGTGATTGTGGATCTTTTGAGCGAGTTCCAACAGGTTGGTGTCCTTGTTCAGAATAATGTGGAGGGTTCTTTCGCCGTGCTTGGTAGAGGTGGATGATGGCGTACTATCATATTTGGTCATGGTGATGGTTTCAGTTTGTTGGAAGATAGATGGATGAAAGAATAGTTTGCTGCTGCTTGTTTTTAAGTTGTGTGTGAAGTTGGTCGATGTTGCTTCTGAAGGTTGGCAAGGCAATTTTATGAAGCAAGAAGGTGAGGTTTGCTTTGGGTTGTTTTTGGATCTGTTCGGTCGATTGCCAAAAGCAAGGATGAGAATACTGATGGCTATCGGTTTGTAGAATGGTTGTTCCTTTAGCCGTTACGAGTTACGAATACTACTGCTAGAGTACTGTGGGCTTTAGGCCTCCGTAAAGGATATTCTTCAGTAGCTTTCTAAAGAACCAAGAGAAGCTATCGATCAGAGCAAAAAGATTTCCCGAATGCTTTTACATGTAAAACATGGCCATCACTTTTTACATTGTACCAGTATCCCGCTACGACAATGCCGAACAGAACTATTATACAGGCAGCTTCGTTTCTATTGATTCAAACGCGAGCCGAGCTTCTTCGTACATTTCAACACGAGCACTCGTAGAAGTGTACCAGAAAAGCTGGCACGCGTTTGAATCAGAAAAATCGAAGCTGCTCGTACAGTACGACCTGCACACTGCACACACCCAGGACAGAAAGAACATCCGGTCTTGTTCGATAACGCGAGGATACTTATTGGCTAAAGCTCCATATAGTTTTAGTTGCCAAAGAAACCTTCTTTCCTGTCACCGGAACTTGTGGTAATAATAGCTTTGGTAATCAATCGTCATGCACTGAATAGATCTAGTATGTAGAATTAACAGAAATCTTGATGGAAAGCGGCGGACATAAAGTTCACTTGCCACTTCAGATTTCTTTTCCTCTTTCCTTGGTATTAATACTGTAGTCTACGTATGTGTACCTGTACTACCGGTACGGAAGGACTACTATGGTACTAGTACTGTAGGCAGCCAGAAGCCAGCATCCATGGACAGCTTCCTTCTGCATGGCAAGTAGCCAGCTCTGTGTTACTTCTCGCTGCTCTTCTCGCTGTACATGGAACATGGAGAGCTTTGACAAAGACTAGCTAGAGCACTAGAGCAGTAGTGTTCTCCTGTTCTCATTACCGGTGAGCCCATCATCTTGTCTTTACCAGTGACTCCATGCATGGGACGAACTGTACATGACATTGTAGACTATTAATACTTGCAGCTTGCAGTACTCGTGGGAAGTAATTTTCATGTTGCTGGAGGGGGCGAAAGAGACGGTACCACCAGTAGAGGAGCTTGCTGAACAAGCTACGTTTACGTACGTATTACAAAACCATTGATATCGCCAACCACTCACCGAAGCCGCGCGGAAAGTGGCCATGCCTGTGAGCACCACAGACAGAAACCTTCCGAGCTACTTCGCTACATCATCGCTGCATCCTACATCCCTCCAGCATCAATCCATTTTGGTGTTTCGATGGATGATCAACGTGGTCGTTTGAATTGTTGCATACCGAGAAGAGCTACCAGAACATGTAGGTACCGGTGGCATGTGGCATGTGAGAGTTGTGCATGCACGAGGCCTAGTACACCTCGTCAAACCCCCTGCTTCGGTTGATTGAGAACCATGTTGAGCCCATAAGACTGCCATCTGTGATAGATTATTAGACTAGCTGAGGCGTTGGTACAGCCGTATCTTAGAGCTTACATCAATCGTCAATCCAAAGACCTTTCAGAAACCTCGCTCACCAGAACATCCAGACTCTGCAGACTGACTCAGACTCATTGATTGACTTTGCGCTAGGTAGTTGCAATGCAGCATGCAATCTCTTTCCGCCTTTCCTCGGCATGGCTTCGCCGGTAGATCTACCGTACTGGCACAACCGATTGATTAGCTAGATTATCACCGGTAGCACCTCAGTCGAAAGTACTAGCCATAAGGTCGGTCTTACCGGTATGCGTCTTGAAGCTCGTCTTGATCACATCAGAGATTGACGTGGTGGTATCTTTTATCTTTGGCTCAAGAACATGTACCGGTGGAGGTTGCTTTGTGTCAAGAACCGGTATGGCGCGACAGCCTAGATCTAGCGTACTAGTCTAGTATCCTTCGTGGGCTTTATGGCTGACTGTGTGTGCTACATAGGCACTAGCCATGGCTTTAGCAGCTGCTTTAGCCGGGGTGGCCGCTCCATATTCCATATGGAGGGCAACACGTCACATGCAGTGGTCTGAACCTCGGGTGTCCTTCCAGCTAGCTGGCTAGACTGTCTATGCATGCGGGCATGTCGTTCCTTTTGCGTTTCCTTTTACGTTTCCTTTTGGCTTGATCCTCGTCAAGCATGTCCTCAGTGCCTCATTTTTAGCATGGCGACTGCTTGCCAGCCACCATGACAAATAGTAGTGATTTTTCTTTTTTTGTTTTGGAAATGTTGAAAACTAAACAAAGAACTCTTTCGAGTGGCTAGCTAGTAGCTATTGCAGCCGACCAAACAGTGAAAAAAGACTACTCTAGACTAGCTATTGTGGCTGAGTGTCATTGGTATTCACGGTTGATCTCTGGCTTAGCAGTCCACATAGATGAGCTCGTCGTTCTTGCTGACGTTCTCTTGTGATGATGATGATGAATCCACGGAGGTGATGACGGAAGGATTTCGACGGAGCCAAAAGTAGAGGCCCTCCAAGTTGTGCATGCCACCATCATCTGTCATCCTGGAGGTTCTGGTGTTTGTGTCACCGAGCACTTGCATCCATTGGGACATGGAGTAGTTGGACATGTCTTGCAGCTTTTGCTTCCTTCCTCCATCCTTGGCATTCAGTGTGGTATAAAACTCAATGGCCGGAGCCAAGCGTTCACCGGAAGCACCAAATAGTTCGATCTCTGTCAGCGTGTCATTGGCTTCCAATATCTTGCAAAAGGCCGCGATACTGTCCTCAGAGAATGGCTTCAAGCCGCGAAGTTTGAGGCTCTTCAAGTGTGTGTTCTGGACCAAGGCATTGGCCAACACGATGGAGCATTGGTGTTCCTTCCAGGATGCCATGTCCGACACCCATAGTTCCAGGTTGGTGAGGCTGGTGTTGGAAGCAAAAGCTTGAAAGAGATCATTGACAGCTGCCCAGGCATGGCTGATATCGAGGTCAAGACTGTCCAGGCAGCAGGCGGGACTCTCCATTGCCATGGCCAAGGCAGCCAGGGAGGACGAGTCCAACTGAAAGTTTTTGAGGGACAAGGACCGAGAGGATGTCACAAAGGTTTCCAGAGCAGCACTGTCCAACTTGCACACCGAGGAGTTGTGAGGTGCGGCAAACTTGAGGTCTTGTAAACGAGGCAATTCCATGATGGTTTGAATGAATTGCGCATTGCAGCAACCACCATGTCGGTCCTGCACATCCTGGTCGTCCTCCTCCCACATGCCCCCCGCCCCCGGGAACCGGAACGCCCGTTCGTCACATTCCAAGCGCTTCAAGTTGTTCAGAAACCGGACCGCTAGCACCAAATCCGTGCGGTCGTGGTCGTAGTCGTCTTGGGAGGAAAACTGGCACTGCTCGAGCACCAGCTCTTGGAGGTACATTTCTCGCATGGGATTGATCAACAGAGCGGTCAAGAGCTCCAGGGGAAATCCACATCCCGAAGCCCCCAAGCACTTGATGTGGATCTTTTTGAGCTGGGGAAAGTCGCCCAATGCTCGAAAGAGGCGGCGGGCTTCAGTGAGATGACGATCCCAATCAGGTTCTGACACTGTGGGTGCAAGCCCAAAGCTGTAGGAACAGGAGGGTTCAATAAAGAGTTCTTCCACGAGGTAGGATGTGTGATGCCTGTACTCATGGGTCAAGGACCGGAGGTCGGTGGTCTTGCCCAACACCACATGGAGGGACTTGATGGGAGTGGTGGCTGCTGGGGGTTTGGAGTTGCAGCAGCGGCGTGTTTGCTTTGACATCATGGTCATGGCTTTTTTGTCGAGTGTGGAAGAGAGAGTTGGGAACCTTTGCAAATTGTGTGAGTCCGAAAAAGTGGGATGAGGAGGAAAGGAAAGGAAACTGTTGGGTGAAGGACAAGAAGTGCCAGTCCGCAGAGAAACGTCAATTGCCATGCAATCTTTCTTATCACCCTTGCTACCTGGTACCATCCCGAAATTGCCAAAAGTCACTGATCAAAGATAACTTGGCCACACGGAGGATAACAAGTCTGCACGTTTGCTCCCAGAAGGTTTATTAAGGTGCACAATTTGACAAATTTCATTTGCGGTTGAAGTTCTCAAAGCCCTTCTATCTACCAGTGTCTGTTAAATAATACGGCAAAAGTACTTTAATACCTAATAACCTATAGTCATAAAGGTTTCTTTGAAGTTTTCAAGGTCTGAAGGCAAATGTCGTAGGACAAAATTGTACTTTCCGATTGTTAATGATCAACAGCACGATCAACTATGACCAACCAGAAAACATTAGTTCAGCTGCTGAAGCGCGGGGTGTACTTTGTCTTCCCCGCATCTCCACTATACCTCTACTGTACACAAACTAGGGCGTGTAGCAATTATTAGCAACCTCATAATACCACTAATTAATTCACAGCTGGTTTCGCTTGGAATTAAGTATTCAGTTTTCCTGGACATCTTCTTCACAATTCTTCCCCTCTTTACTTTGTACGATGTGAAAGAGTGTGTAGTCTTACTGTATCTAATCTTGCTGAGCTTCATACCGGTAGTCACTCCAGAAGCCAATCCATCGACTCGATTGCAGCTTCAGCCAAGCAGCCAAGCAGCCAAGACTCTCAGTACTACTAGTAGTATGTCGTACGTCCGGTACTGAGTAGGGAAAGAAGAAACGGCTACTATGATAGCTATGATAGCCAGCTAGCGACTTCAGAAGCCAATCCAGAAGCGATTCTTCTCCAGCGGCTCCAGGGCCAAGACTCCGTTTGCTTGGTACCGTAATGAAAGAAGAAGGTCTTCTGGTAGCCGGTACTGGTACCGATAGTCTTGATGAATACTGTAGTTGTTGCTCCATCCAGGAATGTTAGTATCCACACTTTCGAAGCCAAGTGCCGATTTCCACGGGCAAGCTTCTCCGATGCTATCAACAGCCAGAATCCACTTTCTGCAGACCATCCAAGCAAGGGAGCCGGTGCCAGTCAGTGACTGGATATCGGTAGCCTTCTTGCTTGTAGCCAGCAAGATAGGCACCTCCTGGACATTGGAGCACTTTCAAATTCTTGTAACAAGCGAAGAATCTGCGTAGTACTGGACCACTCTTTCGAATGTATATCGAATCTAGTTCCAATCTCAGCCAGCCAGCAACCACGGATCGAATGGGTAGTGTCTACCGTACCGTATGGCTAGCTGGCTGGAGGTTGGCTGGCCTGGCTAGCTAGCAATACTGCGGTTGACTAAGTTGCAGCAACATTGGCAGAAAGCCACTATTGGTACCGGTCCATTTGGTACATGTACCTTGTACCATGAGTGTACCATGTATTTGGGCTTTCGAGTGAACCGGTGGTGCTGCAAAACGCCTCTTGGCTGCGGCAATACTGTACTAGAGTACGGTAGCTATGTACGAGTGAGTACCAGGTACCAGGTACTGTCGCTCAATCATGAACAGTTCTGACTCGACTGGACTCCAAATAAATCATTCTACCCCCAAACAAAAGAGGTGTACTATACTCTGTAGGAGTCAAGAGGGAGTGGGTTTGAAATCCTACCCTATTGCCCTACAGACAGAAACCCGTTTTAACAGCTGTTTTAACTAAGGGATTAGAAACTCAGAAACTTACTTTATTTCGAGGGCTCTGAGTGGGTTTAAATCCCAGTTCAACCGTAGATGCTACTCTAAATCCTTGGTTCTAGCTCATATTACACGATTGGTCACACGATTTCAAAAGGCATTAGATGTTATTGTGGGTGTGAAGTTTTTGTGATTTGTCATTGGCTATACATTAAATCTTATTTTACATGATATTATTTGGGTCCTTGGTCCTTGGATGCAAAAAACCGCACACAGAAACACTCTGAAAGAGCTCTGAAACAAAGCTACCGGTACACCAAAGAGACAGTGGGCACATCTGACTATCGAGTAACAGGGTCATTCGAATTCCACATAATGCTCCATTGATGGAAGCTCCAGAGGCAATCAAAACCTCGCAATAGGTATGATACCCCCGATACATACTTGGGGTGCCGGCACGGGTGGAATATCTATGGCTAGCTAGCATTAGTACTGTGGTTGGAGGAGGCCTGCCTCCATAGGGCTGACTCGACTCCACTGCTCAGATATCCTGCTTTAAGGGTTTCTACCGACTGGAGGTGCTGCAAAACTGCAAAACACCTCTAGGCTGTAATGGCGATGACCAGGCTAATTGTGGCAACTGTGCAACTATGGCTTAAAAGGCAAGAATCAAAACTTCAAAGGATCTACAGTGTCTGAATAATTTCAGGGCTTCTCTGAAAATGTCTCAAGCAAGAGAAGATGTTGAGTTGCGATGAGCGAATGGCTGGTACCGGTACCTACTAGCTCGATACGTGTCGTCGATCAAACGTTGAAAGATAGGTTGAAGGATTAGGGCATCGTAGCACTTGGAACACAATGAATCGAATCGAACAATGGATCGAGATGGGCCAATGGTGATGACAGGCAGGCAGGCAGGCAGGCAGCAGGCAGGCAGGCAGGCAGGCAGGCAGGCAGGCAGGCAGGCAGGCAGGCAGGCAGGCAGGCAGGCAGGCAGGCAGGCAGCCATTCTCATGCGGCCGTTCTTGTACTCAGCCATCGTTGCTTTCAAGAAGGACATTGTTGTGCATACCTTCCTACACTGTTCTGCACGACGATTGGTTCCATGGACTAGTCTTCGAGCTTGGTGCTGAAATACGTGCGGCCGTGAGCGTCAAGCTTTCCAAGTCAGCGAGGTTGAGCCACGAGTCAAAAGAACCGCATCCTGCGAGCAACCCATTCCCATCGACTCGCCGTGTGCGTTGTGAGGAGCAGAGAACGAAGTTGCCGTGAATTGTCGCTTTGTCTCTGCGCCCAAATTCTTTGGCGAGGAAGACGACAGCACCAATCAGGCAACTCCTTGGGATATTTTGATTCCTTGCACTATCGACAATGTGGCAGGAGGTTGCAGGCCAGACACCGAAGCTGGGATAGTGACATTTGGCTGTGGAAAGACCTACTCTGAATGGTGTGATGCCAACAACAGCAGCGAGTTTTGTGACAGTACTGCTGCTCCAACTGCAGCCTGAGCTCCGTCAGAAGTGGCAAGTGGAAGCACTGGTGCTGATCCTCATTTCAAGGTGTGTGAAAATAGTAACGATTCTCATACTCAACATCTGTTTTTGTTTTTTTACTGTTGATTCAATCCTGACAATCTTGTTTGCTGAAACCATTGTAGACTTGGGCCAGTGAATGGTACGACTACCACGGAGTAAGTGGCCAATGCAAAGGGCGTTGCTGTTAAACCTCTCCCTTCACACTAGAACAAGTATTCCTCAACTTTCGTTCTTTCTCTTGCCTGCCCAGGAATGCGATCTTACCTTGGCGAATGCCCCAGACTTTGACAATGGCTTGGGACTCACTATCCACAATCGCACAGTTGCAAGTTACTTCTACTCCTAGATTGAATCAGCCAGCCTCTGTCAAGGTTGGGGATGACATTCTGGAGGTCTCCAGCTATGGTGACTTCAAATTGAATGATGACTCAGTGCCAAAATGCCTACTAGTACCACGGTAGGTCATGGCTTGTACTCAGTAAGCTACCAGCAAAAAAGTGACAAGGAGCACATCTTCGCAATTCAAGCTTCGAAGAAAGAGAGTATCATGGTTTCCTCTTTCAAGGACACGGTCAGCGTCAAGATTGAGGATGCCACCCATGCCAACTTTGGTAGCAGTGTTGGGTTGATGGGGAGGTTCCCTGATGGTACCATGGTTGGCAGGGATGGAGTGACAGTCTTGAGGATGTCATTGAGTTTGGTCAAGAGTGGATGGTCCAACCTGAGGGGATGAGCAAACTTGCCCATGGCTCTGCATTGAATTTGTTAGAGCTTTTTTGTAAAAATTGTGTGTGCTAAGCCAATCTTTTACTTTGGCTGTTTTTCTCTATTGGATTGGATTGCATTGGATTAGATTGGATTGCATTGAATTATAGTTTACTATATAAATAACGCCCACCTTCCCAGACAGGGAATGAAGAGATTCTACAGAACGGAGAGTATGAGTTAACAGGGAGCCGACCATAAGGGGAGCCTACGGACAGGAATCCGGGAGAGCCACTATCCAAGGATGAGGTGGTGGACCGAAGTGTCGGGTGCACAGAGTGGTGTGCCTATGTGGTGTTGATGACTACTAGAAGGACTACTAATCGGGCGGCTACAAATCAGGTTCACTTTTTCGGAACCAGAGTTGCA